TTTTTTTTTTTTAGCCCAATGTTTTAGCAGTAAGTTGTGCTGTTGTCGTTGGACATTTCAGAGGTTTTTCAAGCGCCGTCGAATTTTGATGCAGCATTGTTGTAGCGGTGATGATGATGAAGATGATGATGATGATGATGATGATGATGATGATGACGATGGCGAACGTAGAGAAGACTCAGTTTTGCAGCTATGAGCACACTAAGTACTTTTAGAAAAAAAAAAAAAAGGCGACAACAACAGCAACCAAAACGACGACAACAGCGACAACGACGGTGATAGCATTATATTTGACATCAGCGGCAGCACTACCACTACCACGACGCAGCAAACAACGATGGCAACAATATGGCGAAGAGCTACCCAACTGAACTCCAGCAATATGCCAACGACAATCAAACAAACTGGACAGTAACCGCCGTATTTTAATTAATAACTTACTGCCGGAAACAATCAGTATATTTATGTATCCAAAAGAACAGTGTATTGTACACATCGTCTATCACAAAAGGTAACTGTTGATTTATACGTCGCATTCCTTTCCAGCAGCAAGAGCAGGAGCAGCAGCAACAGCAACGGCAACAGAAACAGAAACAGCAACAGCAGCAGCAACAGCAACAGCAACAGAAACAGAAACGGCAACAACAACAAACAACAACGACAACAGGCAACAGCAGCAACAGCAGTAGTATCAGCTATCAACAGCGCCGACAGCGGGCAACTAAGTTACAGCGCCGTGTATGCGTCTAGTGCGTATTGTGTGCCTTAGTCTCTATAGTGTATATTCGTGTATGTGTCTGTGTTTACGTGTGTTTGTTTGTGTGCGTGTACATATCTATGTCTCTATCTACTGTGTTTGTCTGTCTGTTTGTTTGTCTGTATGTGAGTGAATGTTCTTATCTGTGTGTGTGTGTGTCATTATACGTTATATGCAGTATTTGTGCTATTCGGTGCATCCTATAGGTGTCTGCTGTATTTTTCTCTAAAGACTCTAACTATGTAGCATATAGCCTTCGCTCTGTACTGCCGCACAATTCGTTCTTGAGTGATGTGTGTTGTTCAGATGGGCCTCTTGTCCGTACCCCCCACTGTGGTGTTGTGGCTCAGAAATGATCAGTTGAATTGATTTGCCCATTCTTGATATGGTGGCGGTTCTGCTTCGGTCTGAAGCTTCGTTCTCCTGTATTCGGAAACTGACTCTTCACATCAAAAGCGACTTTTCACCCTTCCTCCTTGTTGAAATAGTCAGTTATTTTTGATTGTACTTTCACCATTTGCGGCTCAGCTGACAACAGTTTATTCCTCA